ATTGGTTCTCCTGCGGCGAGTTTATGAGCGCCTGTGTTGTTTGTAGTTCGACTATCCTCCGTCCTACCCTTTACATTAGCCTCCCGTCTGTCCGCCTTTGCAATATGCACACATACCCAAGTATGCTAGGCGGTCATTGAACCCTCTCCTTCCGTGGTCGAAGCTCTTGTGTGTGACGGCTAACCACTTGACGTCTTCTCCCAGCATTTTGTCTCCTCCGGGGCCCAACATGCGTATATACGCATCGTCCAGCTTTTTCGGGTCCTCATTGACCTGGTAAACGCCCCCTCTGGCTTTCGGCCGTATCCTGTGAGGCGCCATCATTCGCGGAGGTGTCTGTTTCCATCTCGGCCTATCGACGGCTGGCGTAGCTTCTGCGTCATATTCCGTGGACCTCGATGGGGTGGTGCTCGTAAATGCGCATGCGGAGGACCGCACGAAGGACGTTCTGGATATTTGCGCGGGCCGGAGTGATGATGAAGCGGTCGAGACGAGTGATCGGAGCGGTCGTTTGGAAGTCATTGCGGCACTCCCAAGTGGTGAGCGAGGTATGAGAGGCTTGATTGGCGGCGGGCGGGCGTGCTGCTGCTGGCGGAGGTCACTTCGGATCATCGAAAAGTTGCGGCACGCGGATCGCGCCTTACCGCAATAACGCTAGCACCAGTCGCGCCCGCTGCTCCCCCATCGTGCGCCCCCCGATACGCGACTCTTCCCCTTGCTGCGCTTCTTTTGGGTCATCATGACGAGCGCTGGGGTCTCCAAGCCGCTGAAAGAGTTACTCGCCGAACAACTGCCAAAAGACGTGCCCATTACCTTCTATCACTACTCAACACCGCCCTCCAAGTCCTCCGCCCTCTTCTCCGCGCCGCCCCATGGCAAGTCCGAACGAACATACTGCGAATCGCAGACCTTGGCAGCGTCAATAGTTCCAAAAGATGCGGCAGCCGCAGAACTGCCCGAGGAACTTCTTATATTGGCAATTGAAGTCTTGATCTACACCACGCGAAACCTCACGACCATCTTCGTCTCCAAAGCCGACTCGACGGGTTACATCTCCGAACTACAATTGCCGCGAGCCCAGTCTGCGTCACCTCTGAAAGCCATTTGTGGAACCTTTGTATCCTGGCTAGCACGAGAACGACAGAGGGAAGGGAAGAAGCTGGTAGTGTCTCTCTTCGCCAGGGCACAGGATCAATACCTGTTTCCGGCAAGTATCGAGAACAAGAACAAGCATGTGCTAGATGACAGGGGCTTGGTCAGGTGGTGGTGCAGAGTGCTCGATCCCATCATATGGGAGTACAAGGCTGAAGGAGAGCGGAAGCCCTTCGCTGAACGACTGGTTGATGATGACGGCTCGAAGGCGGATAGCACGTCAGTCCAATCGGAGTCCACGGCCAAAGGCTACCTGGTGATACCGGGCTTCGAGCCATACGACACGCTGCGATACATTCCTCCACCCCCCGTACCGAACACCCCTCGACGCTGGGTAACCGCACACCCGCTCCTACAGATCGCTCCCTATCCTGCCGCTCCACCGCGCTGCCTCATACCACACTTTCCAGACGACCCCAAAGCCAGATTCCTTGACGAACTGGACGAAGAACTTCCTGATCGGGGTACCGATGCCATGGTAGTAGATGGAGGCACACCTTCGAGAAGCAATGGGCACTGGAAGAGCGTCAAGACACTTGACCAGTTCTGGGAATTCATGGCCTTCAGGCAAGAGTGCTCATCAGGGCGTATAGTAGGTTTCATCTGGGTCGTCATAACACCACCCAAGCCTTCGATACCCGAAGAAGATGAGGACATGCCTTCGCAACAATCAGCGTCGCAGTCGTTCTCACAGCTTGATTCGCAAGAGAATATGCCCAGTCCAAAACGGAAGAAGGCTAGTCGACGCCGACAAGAGGCTAAAACTAGGTATGGACCAATTCCCTTGGTCCTGCCAAAGATCAAGAACAGCTCTTCAAACTTATCGACATCATCCAACATCTCTTCAAGCTCCGCCAAGAACCCTCCCGAGAACAGTCCATACTGGAAATGGCCCGCTTCTTCACGTGGCACCATCTGCTTTTCACTTAAGAACTACGACCGCGCACATGAGGTCCTTTTGCAACAGAGTTTCGCAAACCGAAAGGCAGCAGCACGAAGTACGAGGAAGTGGAGAGAGGAAATTGCTGTTCTCGGGGGCATAGACGATTGGAGCTTCACAGTCAAGGGGACAAAGGAGTATGTAGCTCCAGTAAAACCTTCGGATGCAACAAACGGCGTGACACCTACCATGGTCATGGGTGTGCGAAAGAAGAGGAAACCCGATATCCCATCAGAAGCGGCAGTTGGCGCAGAAAAGCCTGCAGAGTCCGCGCAAATACTAGGAGAAGGCACAGTCAGGAAGAAGGCAAAGGTAGAACCCACACCCGTTACCAATGCAAGCGCTGCAAATGGGGTGAACACTTTGACGGCAGGCCTGGTGCGCAAGAAGCCAAAAACTTAAGAAAGGCTGAGCTCCATCGGTGTATGGCGTTTCACATAAATTCAAGAAGGCTTCATTCTGTATAGCGAAATTTTTGGGCTGATACATGTCTCTATCTCACTCACACAAAAGTGTGTTAACGTATTAATATATCCTTGCGGACTTCTTTTCACGCACAAGCTGTATGATGTTCAGCGTCAAGAAAGTCTGCGGATTGTGTAAAGTCTTGGGCGATCAAATGTTTCGTCATCAGGTGGTCAACTAGAAAAGTGAACGAATCCAAAATCCAGAGTGAGTAATCAATTCGCAGATGGCCATCTATGGGAACCATTGTCGGGTGAACTGCTTTGTCGGTGTGCAGGAAGTCTGATCGCAACAAACAATCGCGATCCATGGATGTCCCTGGCGGTGAAGTCGGACCGTTCGGATCAGCAAACGATTGTAGGACAAGAAGCTGCTCCAATTTCCACAGCTACATTACGCTTGTTCCTTTGCCCATCTTTGTGGAAGTGCATCTATACAATACCCCTGAACATCGTCAAGTGGTACTGCGTCTTGGCGTTCATCGCTTCCTGGTTCTCCGCAACCTCCGCGCTGCGAGATTCGCCAACACATCCCACCCTCATTCCGACCCTACCATACTGTCGCGCATGCTTCGCGCGCCTAACCTCGCGACGGGACAAGATGTCTCTATGTCGCGCACCATCATTGCGACCGGCTGCTTGATTTGGTGGGTGATAGTTTGGAGTGTCTGTGCCATCGGCTTCGTCCAACTATTCCGCTACTATTGGAGGAGACCCCAGCAGGCAACATGCGTAACGACGTTGGAAGAGCACGAAGTCCCTCAAGTCACCGTTATACGGCCGGTTAAAGGCCTCGATCCGCGATTGTACGAGTGCCTTGCAGCCACCCTCCGCCAGACGTATCCCAAAGACAAACTGAACACCGTGTTCTGCATTCCCGAGCGTTCCGATCCCGCCTTCCCGATCCTCGAGCACCTATGCAAAGACTTCCCGGAGGCCGATGTACAGATCTTGGTCGAAGAGGAGGATCCGCTGCTACTGAAGGATAACAACGCGCTGGGACCCAATCCGAAAATCAGGAACATGAGTCGCGCCTACAGGGAGGCCAAGGGCGATATCGTATGGGTACTTGACTGCAACGTCTGGGTCGGCAAGGGTGTCTGCGGACGATTGGTGGACCTGCTATGTGGATTTGGAAAGGACGAATATGGCAACAAGAAGACCAAGTATAAGTTCGTTCACCAAACGCCTCTTACGGTAGATCTCGACTCGCAAGGTCTCTCGCTTCAGGACCGGAAGGAATTGCTCGGAGGCAAGCCTGAAGCTGTAGCTGCGTCGACTAGTATTGCGGCAAGCACGTCTTCCGATCCGCGCAATCACTCCAGCAGCACCATCAAGAAGCTGCTGCAACGCGGCGGAGGACGTCTCGACGAAGCTTTCATGTCTTCTGCCCATGCCAAATTCTACCAAGCCATCAACACAGTCGCTGTGGCACCCTGCATTATGGGCAAAAGCACCATGTTCCGTCGCTCCCATCTCAACTACGTTACCTCGTCGAACCCGAACCGCGCCCCCGGTATCGACTTCTTCTCTGACAATATCTGCGAGGACCATCTCATTGGCGATGTGTTGTGGAAGCAACCTCAAGCTTTCGAGGAACGGGGCTACAAACCCGAGCCAGGAACGACCAAGGAGGCCTGGGGCAAGCATGCAATGCTCTTCGGTGATTTTTGCTTCCAGCCAATCAGCCATACGTCTGTCATGGCCTACCTGCAACGTCGCATTCGATGGTTACGAGTACGGAAGTTCACGGTGACTTTGGCTACGTTTGTGGAGCCAGGAACAGAAAGTATTCTTTGTGGACTGTATGGCGCCTATGCTCTAACGACACTACCCTTCTTCCACAACATCGGCATCAGCTCGACATGGACTTCTTTCTTCCTGATCTGGCTTCTACACCTATCCGTATGGTGCCTTGTAGACTATGTCCAGTATCTGCTCCTGCACTGCGCAAAGACCGTCGAGATCGACTCCGACACCCCTGACTTCATCTTGCCTCAACGATCAGCCTCTGCATACCACCGAACCGAAGTTCTAGAACCTCTGCTTGGCAACAAGACACCGGGCGAACCTAGTCTACTTGATGGCGCGAGGAGAAACTTCATAGACTTCTTATTTGCGTGGCTCGGCCGCGAGATTTTCGCATTACCAGTCTGGGTCACCGCCTTCTGGGGAGGTGTTACAGTAGAGTGGCGAGGCAGGAAATTCTGGGTTGGGTTAGATATGAAGGTTCACGAGATCTTGCCTCAAGAGAAGGACGTCAAGAATCTTCAACCCAAGAAACATTAGTATTGTAGGCAGAACCATAATTGTTGTTGCATAGCGTGCGGTCCCGGTAGCATTCCAGGCGTTCACATGAGAATACGGACATCGTCAACCGACATCTTCACTGCCACTGCACTGGTGAACGAGGTCTATTTTGATTCAAAAGCTAACAAGTGTTTCTAATCTTGCCGAGCAGGATCTAACTGAACGCTCCCGACCACTGCGTCGATCTCAGCCATCACATCCGGCGTAAGCTTGTCCATGATCTTCAAAGCTGCACAGTTGTCCACCACCTGCTCTGGTCTTGATGCGCCAGTGATCACCGCAGATACATGCGGATTCTTCAAGCACCACGCAAGCGACAACTGCGACTGGCTAACGCCTAGCTTATCCGCAATCGGCTGCTCGCAGTTAGCTAGATGCCATCAAGGATGCATGGGGACTTGAATTACCTTCAATTTCCTCGCACTGTTGATCATACCACTCCACTCCTCGTTTCCATATCGGTCGCGCATCCCACTCACAAAGCCATCTTTTCCTTCAGCAAACCTCGATCCTGCTGGCGGCGCATCCGGACTATCATTGTACTTTCCGCTAAGCAGCCCAAACTTCAGCGGCGAAAATGTAGTCAGTCCAATCCCGAAGCGCGCATATAGACGCTGGAACTCGCTCTCAACCTTTTTCCTTTCGAGCAAATTGTACTGCGGTTGCTCGACTACCGGTGCGATGAGACCTAACTGCTTCGCTATCCCGCAAGCCTCGGCAATCTCGTCTGCAGACCACTCAGATGTGCCCCAGTACAACGCCCACCCTTTCTGCTCGATGACATGGTTGAATGCGCGAACTGTTTCTTCCATGGGTGTAAGACGATCCGGACGATGCGCATACACTATATCGACATACTCCAGATCCATGCGTTTGAGAGATGCGCGAAGACCCTCGATGATGTGTTTGCGCGAGAGTCCGTGGTTGTTGACAAGCACTTCGCCATTTGCGCCGCCCCAGTTGAGCTTTGTGGATATCACAATGTCGTTGCGGTTCCATGCAAATTTCTTGATGGCCTGGCCCATGATGATCTCGGACTGACCTGCGGCGTAAGACTCCGCCGTGTCGAAGAACGTGATCCCGTTATCGTAGGCCGTCTTCATGATAGAGAATGTGAGTTCTGACGTTGACGTTAGTTGAGTGGCTGATGAGCGTGTAGGCACAAGGTACCATTTTCGACGTGGCCTCCAAAACTGCAATCTGATAAGTATTTTCTCAGGTGTATCCATGAAAAGAGACGAGTGAACATACGTGAGCCATCCTCCCAGGCCGAGCGCAGATACGTGCAAGCCTGAGTTACCTAGGCGGCGGTACTGCATGCCCGTTTTGCGAGGTTCTTCCCAAGCCATCTTGCGTTCGTATGAGCGATTCGGTGATTGAACAACAAGTTGATTTCTCAATGGACGCTGGAATAAGGTGATGCCTCGAGTACAACCGCCATTACCAGTCACAAGTCCTACCAAAGCCTTCAACAGTTCTGCTGACTACACCGAAAGCGGCGGGTTCCCCATGAAGGGCGATGCCGGCGATGTAGCCTGCCGCATCGGACGGAAAACCTCAGTTGGGCAGTTGCAGCGAGTTGGGCGCTGTGGTGCCGCGGCCTTGGTAATCAGGGTTTCGGAATGACTCGTAACATCGTGGAGATTCCCGAGGTCGTCATTGATCCCCGCAATCACGACATGCGATGTTTCTGGGCAATTGTGGGGCGCGGTATGGAAAGTGGATCAGACTAGAGACGTCTTCGTTGAACAAGGCGGCTCTCTGCAGCCGACGCAGAGACGTTTACTCACTATACACGCAGTCGACGCGCGATCATCCGCAACGTTGTGTAGGAAAACCACAACAAGAATGATTCAAAGTGTATTGGAAGTATAAGTGAAATCATCTCCGATGCTGTCTCTTTGATAATGGTATATAATGGGTATCAAAGCTTTGGAATTCGGACTTGGAATGCGACCTAGGGTTAATCTCAACGACGGGTCGCATGTAGTTCGGTGCAACTGAAAGGCGAGGGGCCATTGGTTGGAAGTCGGATCCATTGAAGAGACCATGTGATGCAGCTATGCATGTTGGCATTGACTGTCTGTGGATTCCATCGGCTATCGTTTCCCAACGAGATCAGAGTGTGAACCTGAAGTCTAACCGCTTGTTGCCATCTTTCTCTCGGGAGATGATGTCTGCTTGGTACAGAGCCTTCTCTTCCGAAGTCATCTGGTCCCACTGTTTCTGTTTCTTCTTGTTGAGGCGGACCAAAGTCTGCCGTTGCACGAGGAAAGTAATGACACTCAGCGCGCATATAGCCACAAGAACGGAGTTTCCCTGCTTGTAGTACGGGCCGTCGTACTTGCGGTAGATCTGTGAACTGATCAGAGACCCAATCTGCACAATGACATTGTACGTTGCGGCCGTAATCGCACGTTTCTTAACGTCGAAAGTGTTCTCGGATATCCAAGAAGAGACCAGAGGATGGAAATATGGGTACCCGGAGATCAGCGTGATTAGGGAAAAGCGGCCCCATTCACGGCCACCATCGGGTAGCGTCAACAACGCGATGAGAAGCGGCATGATCCAGAACTCGCCGAATATGCAGTGGAAAGTGCGTTCGTTGAAGTAGTCGCTTGAATATGCCAATGCTAGCATAGTGACGACCTGGAGAGCCGCAGACGGAATTGTCAACATGTTGCTGTTGAAGGTGCTGAAGCCGAGGCGTTTAAGCGTGAGAGTGAGGTACCCTTGCACTGGCGAAGCAGGGATGTAAGCGACAAGGCCGATGAAGTATAGACCCCACATGGAGGAATCTGACCAGGCCGCGCGGATGTCCCTGAATGTTGCTGGCTCTTTGAGAGCAGTAAGGCCTTTGGCAGGGTCATCTCGAAGTATACGGTTGACCATGATGACTTCTTCCCGCTCAGTGAACCAGCCTTGACGCCAAAGTACGTTCTTGGTGGATGTCGGGGCGGTGGGCAAATACAAGTACGAGAGGATGGCGATGATGACTGTCAAAAGGCCCTCGAGGAGAAATAGCCAGAACCAGCCTGGCTTTCCACCAACACCGCGCATCTCCAGAATCCCCGCTGCAAGCAAGGCAGAGATGACACGTGCAATGTTGAGTGTCGACCAGAAAGCTGCCAGGCGTAGAGAAAGCTCCTTGGATTTGTAAAAGTAGGTCGCAAACAAGATCACACCGGGGATGAAACCACCTTCGCAAAGTCCGATGGCTGCGCGGCCAAGGTAAAACGAAGTTCGGTCGTGCATCCACGCCTGGCCCCAAGATGCAGTTCCCCAAGCAAGCATCATGGTTGGGAGAATATATTTGAAGCCATAGCGTTTGGTGAGACTGTTTTAGAACACGGTCAGAGAAAGCCTTCAACAGGAGAATCGTTGATACTCACAACTGCACTGGAAATTCAGCGGCCAGAAAGCACACCAACTGTATCGTTGTTCCATTGTTGTAGTCATCAGAAGTCAAGCCAAGGTCTTCCAGAAGATTGTCTGCGAGCGCATTCGATATGTTTCCACGATCGAGCTGTGGACGTCAGTATTTGTGATCGACTAGCACAATGTATAGACTTACCTGCAGTCCAAACATCATAAGACAGAGCCATGTTAGTAGCCGGAGGTCTGTCTTCCGTACCACACGCCGTTCTTCCTCAATCGTCCAGCTCGCCTGCGGGTCGAAGCGATGCCGGCCCTCGTAGGTCTCATGGGGTGGGACGATGTCCGCAAGTTCCTCTCTGCCCACGTGGGCCGATGATTTGAGCGAATTGGCATCTTCACTGATCCGTGTGGTGTGCGGGGAGGCTTCTATGTCGTTGCCCATCGTCAAGGGCTGCGATTGTCGGCTACAGCACAATTGCCACGAAGGAAGGTTATTGCTGAGATGCGACAGACTGAACACTGCCTATTCCCTGCTATGCTCTTGTCTCCTATTTATTACTTTGGACATGGCATGTCGCAATTCAAGCTCACCCCGTCGCCATCGTCGCCATCCTACCGAGGTAGTAATTGCCCCGAAGAACGAGGGGAAAGCACAATGTTGTGCATGTTGATGCATCTCCTATTGGTCTTACTGTCGACATCCGCCTTGGCGTTCACGGGGTCATGTAGGCTAGACCCGGTACGCCTAGACCCAGAGCGTACAATTAGTCCGATGACGTGCTTTACCACGCATGCGGTGGTGTCACCCTGGTCCCGGGAATTATTATATGTCCTGGACTTCCAGACATTCGGAACTGTTGGTCTGGAGGCTATCCAAGCGTTTCGCAACACTGAATTTGAGCCGGAAGTTGCACTGCCCGCGCACCACATTGCCTTCAAGATGCCTTCAGTTAAGCGCAGTCGTATGGAAGACGTCCATGAAGATGGTGATGCAAATATCATTGGTGGTCACCCCAGCGCCCGATCGAGACTGTTGGAGCCCTTGGTCTATTCCGGATCCTTGGACAGCTTCAGACACCAAGACTTGACCCCAGTCATTGGAAGAGAGTTCGAAGGTCTCCAAGTGACTGACCTGCTTCGATGGGGCGATGCTATGATCAAAGATTTGGCAATAACGGGTACGACTCTCTGTTTGCAGCTTGATGTAGCTCATGGCTGACTTAGAGTTCCAGTCTCACAACGTGGCGTTGTCTTTCTGCGGGATCAAGATGTTACGCCGACTCAGATGAAAGACTTGATGCTGCGGATCACCGAACTATCTGGCTGTGTATGTTGAACTGACTGCGACGTCGAATCTAACGTAGCAATAAACTGACAACGCGTTAGCCTTCTTCCTCAAGTTTACACGTACATCCTCTTACCGAAGAGGGATCAGAGCTCGGCGACCAGATCTCAGTTATAAGTAGCGAGAAGCAAAAGAAAGGTGGCGGTCTCACTCACCAACTCTCGGACGTATCTCGCTTTGCATCTGCGGGCTGGCATAGCGACATAACATTCGAGCCGGTACCATCGGACTATGCGATGCTGAAGATCCACACTTTACCCGCAACAGGCGGTGATACGCTCTGGGCTTCCGGCTATGAAATCTACGATCGTCTCTCTCCTGCTATGCGTACGTTTTTGGAGGGCCTGACTGCGACGCATGATGCGAAGTTCTTCTTAGATGAAGCAGCGCGATTAGGAAATCCTCTTCGGAAGGATGTGAGAGGCAATCCATTGAACCATGGTGATGCCCTCACAGCCACGCATCCGGTTATTCGCACGAACCGTAAGTTTAACGTTGCTCTTGCGCTGCAGTCGCTGACTTATCGTGCAGCCGTAACCGGCTGGAAATCAGTATACGTGAATAAGGGATTCACGAAACGCATCAACGGCGTCACGAAGGACGAATCCGATCTCATTTTACCGTACTTGTTCAATCTTGTGACGCAGAACCACGATGCGCAGGTACGGTTCAAGTGGCGGCCGAATGATTTGGCTATTTGGGATAACCGAAGCACGTGGCATTGCGCAACGTACGATTACGAAGAGGCCCGAGCGGGCGATCGGGTCTGTAGCTTGGGCGAAGCACCGTATCTGGATTTGGGAAGTCGAGGGAGAAGGGAGGCTTTGGGTCTGAGATGAAGATCGATCGCCGGTAGATAGAATTGGATGGTGGCTGGTACTTAGCGTTGTATTACATCACCGCATCATTCCATCGCTCGCGGCTGTCGCATCGCAAGCCAGATTTCTTAGAGCTGATGCCCGTGCACTCGCGTGCTGAGATCCATGCGTGTGGTGGCTACGTCATAGCACAATAATTGCCAGATGGACTACCACACGAGCGCAATGTCAGATGCTGAACGACTTCGTAGCTTCACCTTTTTGGCGAACCGAGACATGTAGCGATAATAGTTTGCTCGAGTCTAAATTGCACGGATCAGCTTCGCATCAGAACAAACCCTCAAAATGAACATAGAAGTCTGCATTGTCCGTACTATATCTTGGACGTATATACCAGCTACAACAAAATCACCGCATCGACGGATATTGTAACCCACACATGAACGCTATCAGATCTAAAGCCCACTCACCAAACATGAAAAAGCAAAGATATCCACCAACACCGATGTACGCCATGCTATACCGAAGCCTCAAAGCGCCTTGAACACCCACAAAGTCGTGACTATAAAGATGTTCATCAAGTCCTCTTTTCCCTGAATTGGCCCGTCGGACCCGCACTAAAAGCACCGCTGATGATGCGCTTTAGTTGCTTGGGTTTACTCTGTGGCACTCTCTCGCCACTCGCCGTACTCTTTCGACTGAGTCCAGTAGCTGTCCTCGTAATGCCATCCATACTCATGCTGACACCGAGATCCATAGCGTTGCTACCACGTCGTGCACGCCTCGTCGCATCTTCGTTCTCTTTCTGGTGTAGAGTTTCCGAAGGGAGCAAGATGGCACGATCGAGAGCATACGGAAGGCCACGATGTCTTCCACGGATCTGCATGGCGATGATGATGAGTTTGCTCAATGTCTTGAACTGGCCGGAGAAGGACGTGTTGAATCCGGGGAATCCCTGACTCAGTCCAACCGTACCGTATGCAGAGACGATCTCAAAAAGGACGGAGAACAGGCTGAACGCGTATTCGTTCGTATTCTCGAGCCGCACGCCTTCGATGATGGCGATGAGAAAGAACCCCAGAAAGACGAACCACAAGTCGAATGAGAGTTGGCGACGCAGATGATGCGAGAGGTAGCTAGATTGGGTGTCGTCTTCGTCGTCTGCGGCCCAGACACCCAGAGACTTCTCCTCGTAGACATTCGATTGGCGGATGGACATGGCGATGGGGAAGATCGAAATGTACATCATGATTAGGTAGCTGACTTGGACCGCAGGGTGCAGATCGGCGATGTTGACGACGGCGAAACCTGCAGTACGCGTTGAAGCAGCTTGGAAGAGACCAGCGAGGAAGCGGTGGCCACCGGATAGGGAGGTGACGGTCGGGTCGTTAAGATCGAGAATGATGAAGAAGATAAGATCGACACCATTCAGGACGACGAGGATCCAGAAAAGCCACCAGTTAGCCTTGCTTGGGAATAGTAGAGTAAAGCACCGACGCGGGTGATCCAACAGGAAACGAAGCTCTTCCCAGATGGCACTGCTCTTGGGTACCATCAGGGAGTACATCCAGATGGTGAACCGAAGCATACAGGGAAACCCGGTATTTCCGATGATGATCAGGAAGGTGCCCAACACGAGGGGCCATACAGCTAGCTGGAAAGAGACCATCGAGTCTGGGGTGAGAGTGAACCCCAGATCGTTGAACAGGGAGGCTGAAGTAAAAAAGCTCCACCAAGTTGGGTCGACGCCAAAATCTCTCACGACACCACTGTAGTGAGCGTCGTTGTTGATCCATGGCGCCAAACATATAATGCCGATGGTGTGCCACCCAAGGTAAAATATTATGAGGATCATGGCGAGCAGCTTCAGAGCACGGTATTCGATACCACCGAGTTCTTCTCTTTGTTCTTCGGTCAAATCAACAAAATTTGAGTTGCGTCCGAGGGTGGGCGTCCAGCTGAGGTAGGGCATCGGGTCCTCCTCTTCGGTCTTGGTCCTAGTAAGGAAGCTGGTCAAAGTTCTTGATCGTGACCTATTACGTAGGTGCATGCTCGATGTAGGCGCGTTTCCATCGCCCTCATTTGTCCTGGTTCTGTCATAGACAGAGTGCCCAGTAGGGCGTTGTTGCCGGTTTGGTACGTCGATGGTGATGTGATTCCTGAGGGGGCGATCGTCTCCGTTCAAAGCATGAGGAACAGAATTCGAACGCTCTCGCTTGGGATGAGACTCGTGTGACAGTCTACTCGCGACTCTGTCTAATTCTTCCTCTCCCTTGACAGCCTCTGGGATAAGACCCTGGTCGAAATCGCGTGGACCTGGAATACGCAGCTTGTTTCTCGCTGTCGGGTTTCGCTGTGCTTCTACGAAAGCGATGCTCTTCTCTTTGTTCGATTGTGGAAGGCGGCCGCCGGGGGATTCTTCAAGCGACTCCTTGGGCTTCTTTTCCGTAGGTGTGCTGAGATTGTCGGCCCATACAATGCCAGATGGAGCAGTGTGAACGGGAGTCGTCGGTCGGAACGGTGGCATTTCGTCCTCGCTGGAACTAGATCTTCTTGGGCGTATGCCGTTGCCAGTCCAGTCCAGTCCGTCACTGAAGGCGTATTCGTTTGCGATTGTTCCGCCATGTGCATGGCCACTGGAACCACGCATGACCCGAATCTCACGAGCGCCGACCGCTTGCTCTTCTTGTCCAACATTTCGTTCTGTTGCTGCATTCATCTCACTCTTCCTCCTAGAAAGTGTGCGAGTCCGACCGCTCCGGTTTCCCCTCTCGAGCACGATGTTCTGGAAACGCTTTTCGAACCAATAGAGGCGGACGACTACGACGGAGCTGTGGATGAAGATGGGCGTACATAAGCTGGCAATAAAGTAGATGGCTATCTGTTCATTGTTAGTGACATACTTGTAATTTCAAGAGCAGCACATACCTGTTGATATAGATCCAGTGTGTTAATGTCAATTCTGCGCTGGCAGTCAGTTCACTGCTCTTATACCTCAGGACCTGACATACGTGTTCAAGCCACTCTGTGTTGCTGCGCCGCTTGCAAAGAAGAGCGCATCGACATAGGGTATGCGACCACTGCCGTATATGATGACGGATCCAATGAGCGCCCACCCAATGATATACGAATCTGTAAACCTGTCAGCCACAGTTCAGTCCATCCTCTCGTATAGTGCGCATACAATGAAGGGTGATGAAGTTGGCGTGTGGTTTGAGGGCCTTCAGACTGGACGGGAGGCGCTGCTTCAGCCATGCGAACATGACAAGCCATGGGCCGAACATGTTGCCGCCGGTGGGCTTCCAAGGCGATGGGAAGGAGTGGATGGCACCCAGTGAGCGGGACTTGTCAGGTTGAAAGAGGTGAGATCAGCAGAGGCAGTGGGAAGGAAGAGCTGAAAGTTCGAGTCTAATCGAGCGCGCCCCAAACAGAGAGAACGTCAACGGACCGAGCCGGTAGCGCGTCGCAGAAAAGCTCCGTCGTAGTGGTGCATATTTGAGGAAAGAAGAGGGTGAAGTGCTAGTTCGAGTGGGCGCTGTGAACTATGGGTCGCGTTGCGGGACGGTAGTCGAGTGGTGCGCTGTGAAAGATTGCCGGCTTGTCGCGCTGCCAGGTGCGGCGATGACGCTAAAGGGGCATCGAGGCCACGGAATGCCCAGCCCTGCTATTCGCAACCGGAGTTTTAACAGACCCCTGTAGTGCACATGGGAATCCAATCGAGAAGGCCTTCCTGCCACACCATAGCCATGGCACTACGCTGCAACCAGAGTTCACATGTGCGACGTGCTTTTTGATCTGCATGCACGTTGGACGTGTGCTTATTCTCCACTGCGATGCTTCCGCTCCGCCCCGCTATCCTTCCTTCCGCGTCGCGTGAGCAGTCCCAAATCAGGATTTGATGAACGATGCCCCTCCACATCTCAATATATATGGTGGGTGTGGACATCGACTTTGCATGAAAGACTACGTTCGCCAGCGCATATCGCGATACGGGGTTCGTCCGCCGGCCGAGCTGATATCTCACCACCCCAACACAACAAGAAATGGCAACAGCGCCGACCATAGCCAAGGATACCGCGGCACCGGCGAGTATGCACTTTTGTTTCAGACAAGATGCTTGCTTTGGCCTTGATAAGGTGCGCCTGATTACTGGGGCGAATGACAACTAGTTCACGTTTCGCTGGACTCACGGACTGTCGTCGTCCTCATTTCTTCTGCGATTGCTGCGCCACAGTTTGGCGTTCTGGCCAGTCATCTGGGTGCATCGATTCACGGAGACTTCGGCACTTTGGACGCTTGTCGGGGCACGTCCAAACTGTATACCTGCTTCGCTAGCCTGACTCTATCACGTCAGCTTTGCTTTTACTTCGCATGCCGAGCTCGTTTTCTAGGAAGAAGACGCGTATGCATGCTTGGTTCGGACTTTCGGCATCAACAATAGTCATATTCGGACCGCGCAAAGATGTGGAGCAGACCAACGGACCCTGATATTCACATCCTAAAATACACTTGATCCTGCTCCGGGGCAGAACATCCATATCCTCCACTATTTCCTCTCGTACGTCCATTCGTCGTCGCCAATGCAGTAAATGCGTATGAAATCAAGCCAAGCATAAAGGAATAGATCATCGCAATTTTGGAAGTCTTTGCTTCTCTTCCTCGTTCGGTTTCTTCGTCACCCTACAGCAAAGAGTTGGCTAGTCAGTACCGTTCGGTGCAGCAGAGAGAGTAGGAGTTGTGGCGCCTGAATTAGGCTTACTCTTCGTCTTCAACGTTAGCGGGAAGGTAAAGTCGTCAGCCTCTTCTTCTTCACTGTGCAGTTGTTAGCGTTGTCCTCATGCATCATATTCTGATCATCACTTACGGGAGCTTCCACGCAATGTAGTCCTCGGTGCTCAGTCCCTCGCGGCCCTCCTGCAGCGAGGCAAAGTCACCGGGCGTCATCATGCCCGAA